CTGGGCTAAAAACTTACTAACTAGTTACAAATTTCCTCCTGACAAAAGTCATGTGAGAGAGTTGAGCCAGGGTATTATTGTTAGTATATTTTTAAAATTTTTTTATTTATAAACTTTTATATAAATATAATTATTGTTTAATTTGGTACCTTTATACATATAAGAAAGTTCAGTTTACCTCTATGTTTTAGCCTTTTATAGTAATTCTAGTCAGCTGAATTAAAGATGCTTTTATTTTTAGTAAAGCCTATCCTTTACTACAAACTATTTATATATTTACCACTTTTTCATTACTCTAAATTTGATTAATAGAAACTATTCTTTCAAGTAAATATCCATATTTTTAATCTAAATAAAGCTTATTTGTGCAGTTTATTGATCACTTTTTCAAGCAAGTATCTCACAAATTGAATAGAAAATATTGGTATTGTCTAAATTGACAATACAAAGATATTAATACTATCTTGTTTCTAAAGACTTACTTATACTGTTACTATAACTAAAGTTTTTTGTAATACTGCAGTTATAAATAGTACTAACTACTTTATATCTTGGTCTTCTCCTAAGAATTTCAATTCTTATCATATATTGTATTTAAACTTAACTACAGAGCTTTATATTCAATTTAAACTCTGAAGATTATAGAAACAAAATATTAATTTAACTTTAGCTCAACTTGAATTATTGATCTTGTTAGTAGAGTTTAAGAGTTTAACTAATAAGTTATAAAGCTCAAAACTAATATTATTTACTATTAATATATTCTTTTTATTTTTTAATTATAGATTTTATTGCTTTTTGCAAATAGTTGTTATTGACATTTTTTATAGAAAATTACTAAATATTGTTATCATGTATTTAAATATCTGACTTACTTTTACTATAATAATAATAAAGTATTAAAATTTTCTTGAAATCTAGTCACTTATATATGTTTTTCTAGTGGTTTGTCTATATAATATTATATAATACTTTTTAAATAGGTGCTAAGCAGATTGATGATATAACAATTAGCAAAAGTAACTTTTGTTAATCAAATTTGTTATATGATTGTTTGAAACAACAAAATTTGTAATAATAGTATTTAAAATTATCTAAGACTTATTATTAAAATTTTGTTATCTTTAGTATTATAATTCAATAATTTTATTAGTATAAATTAGATTAATGCCTATTATGCATAAAGTATGATTTATAATTATATTTTGTTTCAGAAAATAAGTATTTTCAATATAATAATCTAAAATAAGTTGGAAAAAAGATTTACAGCTGTTTTTATAAATTCTGGATCATCAGTAAGTTAACTAAATGATTGTATACCAAATTTGATAAGTTTGTAATTTCAGTAATTATCAATAATATATCTTATTATAAATCAAACCAGTAGTGTTTATCACCAGTAATATATATAGATCAAACCAATTTTTATTAAAACAAAAATTAAAATTCTTTATTAAGGTTTGTATTAAGGCTTGGAATAAAGCAAAAGCACAATTTATACCCAAATTTTGCAAGGAATTTTTTTATTAGAACACAAAAGGTGGTTTCATAAGCAAAATTTTGAGTTATTAAAGTTTTTTTTTAAAAAAACAATTTGTTGATTTTATGTTACACCTGATCTTGACGTTACACTGCAGATCGGCAATTTTATTGGTTAATTTGATGTTGAACACCACTGGTGTAATTTAGTAATTTCCGTAATTATTAATATATATAATACTAGCAAATAATAACTAATTTTAAACGGCATTAGTCAAAATTTGGTTCTTCAACAGGTTGGCTTACTAAATAGTTCAAGGGTTAATCCTTATGAAAAATAATACATTAAGATATTTTGACTGAGTAACATCCTCACCTGCAAATACTGAATTAGCATTTATTGGTTTGGGAAGATTTTGATAACTCAAAAACCGACTTGAATAAATAGCTTGTTTATGCGTCTGGTAGTTGAGTCGTGTTGATAAGACTTGATTGGAATTTTTGACCGTGTCTTTAATTTTTTTAACTTGCTTGTATAATTCGGTTGTTTCATTTTTCAAATCTTTAAAAAATTGATGCAGTGTATTAGCTAATTCATCCGCAGTTGGTCGGTCTTGAGGTTCAGCGTCTAAGCATTTATTCATTAAATCCAAAAGTAGTTGGGGAACTTCACATTTAATTTCAGGTCTAGAACCTAAGCAAATTTTTCTTACTAAATTTTCATCATGCGGAATATTATGATATGGAGGATGTCCAGTAAAAATTTCTGACATGATAATTCCAAAAGAATATATATCTGATTTTTGATTGTACTCTTTTCCACCAGTATATAATACCTCTGGGGCGATGTAAGGAATTACACCAAAAATCCCTTCATTGCTTGAATCTTGAGATACTGGTTTACACAGTCCGAAATCAGTAATGAATGAAAGATGTATATTTTTGTTAACTATATTTCCGGAATGAAAATCTTTATGCACTAAATTAGCTTTGTGAATTGTATTAAGCCCATCAGATATGTAATATAAGATAGCAACTTTAATATTCCAATCTAAATCGTTATATTTGCTATCTAATAATTTTCGAAGACTTCCCTGCTTTGCGAATTCCATAACCATCATATAATTATCGTCATTTGGGTTCTTAGTTATTCCAAAAATTTCAATTCCTGAATAACCTTCATGTTTATGTTGATTGTTAATCTAAATAATTAATTAGAATAAATAAAACTCGAATAAATAATATCAATAATAATAATAAATTATATAATATATACTTCATTTAAAAATTCTTGTTTAATATCTTTAGAATTATCAAGGCTTTTTAAACAAACATCCATTTGTGCATTTCGCATCCAATCATCCTTCTGGCTATCATAGCCGCAAATAAACCCGTCAGTCCATACTGCCTTAAAAACAGTGCCAAAACCTCCTTTAGCAAGATACTTTATATTTGTAAATTTGCTAAAAGGTATCCATTCTACAATGTCTTTAAATTTCACTACACCAAGTTGAGTCTGTTTGATAAATTCATCAACGTAAGGATTGCCACTTGTCCAATTATGAAATTCCTTTTTAAATCTTAAACATTGAATCATAAGTATAATAATACATTAAGAATTACAATTTCAAAACAATATATACACACAGTCTATCATGAGTGGGTTAATTGAAAACAAATTATTATTATAATTATCATTAGTGTATTGATTTGTATATGATATACTATGATATACTATGATATAAAAAAAATCTTACTCGCTGTATTGACAAAAAATATATGGATTAGTTAAAATTCACGTTCGTTAGGTTATTGATTTGCATCGTGATTTATTGTAAATCAAAAAAAATTTATAAAGAACTAACCGGCTGTAGAATATATGTGGATTAGTTAGAATTAATGTTCGTTAGAATATTGACTTGTACCGTGATTTATTATAAATAAATAAATAAATAAATTCTATAATGAACTTACAAACTGTATTGACACATAAATATGTGGATTAGTTAGAATTAACGTTCGTTAGGATATTGACTTGTATCGTGATTTCCTATAAATAAAAAAAAACTATAAAGAACTTACCCGCTGTAGAGGTGACACAAAAATATGTGGTTTGTTAGAATTAACGTTAGTTAGGGTATTGACTTGTACAGTGGTTTACTGTAAATAAAAAAAAACTTATATAAAGAACTTACATGCTGTAGAAATAACACAAAAATATGTGGATTAGTTATAATTAACTTTCGTTAGGATATTGACTTGTACCATGATTTACTGTAGTTAAAAAAAACTTATATAAAGAACTTACGTGCTGCAGAGGTGACACGAAAATATGTTGATTAATTAAAATTAACGTTCGCTAGGGTATTGACTTGTCACGTGATTTATTGTTCTAAAGAACTTACGAGCTATAGAGGTGGTACAAAATATTCGGATTAACGTTCGTTGGGGTATTGACTTGTCCCGTGATTTACTGTAAATAAAAAAAATTCTATAAAGAACTTACTCGCTGTAGAAGCATGATGGAAAATCCATTTGATTGGTTGTCGATCATCATAGTAACACCATATATAAAAATACAATTGATCATATGATAAATAGTCAACGAATCTGATTATATTTGATTAAATTTGCCAGAAGCAAGTAGCATCGAAGAATAAAATTTCTTTAAAATTTCATTGTTTGTTTGCTATATAAATTTATGACTTGCAAGTAGTAAGTCATAAATTTTTATAGCAAACAGACAATGAAATTTTATAAAAATTTTATTCTTTGATACTACTTGCTTCTGGCAAATTTAATCAAATATAATCAGATTCGTCAGCAACGTACCATATAATCGATCGTGTTTTCATATAGAACATTTACTATAAGCAGCCAATGAAATTTCAGGGATCGACAACCAATCAAATGGATTTTCAACCATGCTAACACTATCATATTGCATTTATATATCTAAATTTTATTGGTTGTCAACTAGCTGACTCACCCCACATTTTATGTTACCGAAATTTTGGGGAGCGTCAAAATAAACAGTATTTCCAGTTATATTTCCAGAAATCCGATGAACTAGTCAACTAGTTGATTTTCAACTAAAACGATTCGGATCACTATATGTGACACGTTACTATTTATTTTTATGTGATGATTTAGCATCACATCTCGTGCCCCACGTGATGATTTTCCATGCCCCAATCCTAATTTATATGCACTTTCCCAACGCGTATATAAACAGTGACGTATTACGTAGATAGTTGTAAACTCTTAGATCCTCATTCTTAAAAACACTTTCCTGTCAAACACACTTTTCTTCTTAAACAAACACGAAAAATTCTTAAAATTTCCTAATGACAAAAAGAATGAAATTCAAAACGGCAAAAAGAATGAAATTAAATAATCCGAATAAAGAGAATTACGATCCAGTCAGAAGAACTTTTTCAAATTCAGGAGATGGTCACTTACGTCAAAGGGTGATTAAAAATACACTAAATCCTTCGCGAAAATATGGTCGAACCCCGTTAACTGAAATTTGCACAAACATTTTAGAAGAAACTTTAGAAGTTGAGGTTTGTGTATTTTCTTTTTCAAATCCATGTATTTCTATGTAAAATTAGAAAATTTTGGTGAATCAATTCATTAACATATCACATTAGACCGAAACTGTTCAAGAATAGAGTTTAGAACCGGGTTATAGTAAATCGGGTCACCCGTGTCAAAACGGTTCAACCGGGTTAAAAATTTACAACTCGGGTCAAAACGGTTGAATATGTAACCCTCTAACAATCTGTTACATTATAATTGTATTGTGAATAAACAACCTTTTTCTCTTACTAATTTACTAAATGTTCAATCCCGTTAATCTGGATTTAAAAAAAAATGTTAAAAACTTTGGAGGCTATACGGACTACTTTGTATAAACCTTCATTATTATTTTATGTAATACTCTTTGTTCGACACGTTCGATAGTACCCCGGGAATTCGTAGCGCATGAATGACGTGATCGTCGATAACTCATAGAGGGGGATCACTAGGGTTGTTAATGTTGTTAATGGAGTACTCCAGACTAATAGCTGCTCGATACGTAAGTATCGAGGCAGCTTTTGTCTCGAATCATGTGCCATCCGATCGAACATAATCTTCCCCAGGCAAGTCCGGAATGTGTGACAGGTTGAACGACAAAATTAAGAAAAAAATTTTTCTATCTCAAAATTTTGGCTATGAACCTGCTCTTGGTGCTCTAAGGAAAAAAATTCTACTCATAATTCTTGTTTAAGTTTTAGCTAAATTCCCTTTCTAACTCCTTCCAATCTGACCCTAATGATTAAAATCGATTTAATATTGGCGATGATGATCAATTAGCATAACCTGTCACACATTCCGGTCTTGCCTTCCGCATAGTGATCCTGGTCGATGACCAAAAAAATCGGTCAAGCCGATTTTTCGACCCATCCGGTCGATTTTTGCAAAATCGGCTGGTCGATTTTGTAAGGAGATAGCTTCCTCAAATTGTGCACTACCAGCATTTCTTACATCGATTAGTTAGTATTATAC